ATCCCAAAATCTCCTTAAATGTCATTTTCATTCATCAATCTGTATCCACAATTTGCCTTCTGATTTTTTTCGTATCCCAAATTCATCAGATTGCTTATTACAAATCTATTGACCATTTCATAGAACACTGCCCTAATATATTTAATTATCTTTATTACACCATTAATGTTTATAAGGTCTCAGCAGAGAAATAAAAATGAAGTCCCTTTTTGGAAGATTTGACAGTCTAAGCTCCGATCCTACAATTGGATCAGTGAGGCACCCTTGGGCCTGTGGAGACCCCCAATGACTTTAGTGGGACTCTGCAGGGTTGTAAAGTCTACCTGCACTCATCTGATTGCAGGATCAGGATCTACGTTAAGCCTTCTGAAGATGGTCTGCTAGGTAAGACATTTCTAAGTTTGCTGTGCAAGCCAAAATTTTATTTTTTGTGGAAACTGCATTTTCTGTCACAAATAATTTCAATGGAAGATTTCCAACCAGCTCTAATTGAAACATTCCTTTTAGAGGCATAAAAGATTCCAAAGGAATACCAAAGTATTATGTTACGGTGCAGAGCCAAGGAAGAGGAAGTATTTGAATCATAGAATCATAGAATATCAGGGTTGGAAGGGACCTCAGGAGGTCATCTAGTCCAACCCCCTGCTCAAAACAGGACCAATTCCCAACTAAATCATCCCAGCCAGGGCTTTGTCAAGCCTGACCTTAAAAACCTCTAAGGAAGGAGATTTCACCACCTCCCTAGGTAACCCATTCCAGTGCTTCAGCACCCTCCTAGTGAAAAAGTTTTTCCTAATATCCAACCTAAACCTCCCCAACTGCAACTTGAGACCATTACTCCTTGTTCTGTTGTCAGGTACCACTGAGAACAGTCTAAATCCATCCTCTTTGGAACTCCCTTTCAGGTAGTTGAAAGCAGCTATCAAATCCCCCCTCATTCTTCTCTTCTGCAGACTAAACAATCCCAGTTCCCTCAGCCTCTCCTCATAAGTCATGTGCTCCAGCCGCCTAATCATTTTTGTTGCCCTCCACTGGACTCTTTCCAATTTTTCCACATCCTTCTTGTAGTGTGGGGCCCAAAACTGGACACAGTACTCCAGATGAGGCCTCACCAATATCGAATAGAGGGGAATGATCACGTCCCTCCATCTGCTGGCAATGCCCCTACTTATACAGCCCAAAATGCCGTTAGCCTTCTTGGCAACAAGGGCACACTGACTCATATCCAGCTTCTCGTCCACTGTAACCCCTAGGTCCTTTTCTGCAGAACTGCTACCTAGCCATTCGGTCCCTAGTCTGTGGCAGTGCATGGGATTCTTCCGTCCTAAGTGCAGGACTCTGCACTTGTCCTTGTTGAATCTCATCAGGTTTCTTTTGGCCCAATCCTCTAATTTGTCTAATCAGGATCTGGACAAGTTTTGAGTACAGGTTTGGGGTCAAACCCGGACTCTGTTTCAACTGTGCTCAGACTGTGTGAGCTCTTCTCATGATATTTTGGCTCAAAAAGGTAGGAGTCTTGAATGATCAATAAATAAATCCATTTCCCTCCGCTCCCTATCTTCCCCCCCCCCCCCCCCCCCGAAAAAAAAAAAACAACACCACAAAAATCCCTTTCTCACTTGAAATGATAAAAATAAATGTATACGGAAAGCTGTCCATCCTATGATCTGAATGAGGCAGGAATCCTGACTTGGGGGCAGGAGGGGGAAGAGGATGTGATAATGTAATTAACGACTGTGTTATAATCCATATACACAAGAGGAGGCCAAATCAAGGTTTTATGGACAACCTGAGTTCCAACAGTGCCTAATTTTTGAGAGCTTGACTTTACAACCTTAAGTCTTTTAACCTAGCTCTATTGTGATAATATATATTTGTAGGTCACAAGGTAAAGAGTGAGGGATGGGGAGAGTGCACCCAAATAATTCAAGGAAGAGTCAGGAATTGTTATGATTATGACTGAGTAAATATACAGGAATTCAGCAGCTGGAAAGAATATGGTTAACTAATCCTTTGTGAAGAAGGGAAAAACTACAGCTGCGTACCCCTCGATTCATGGATTGTCAGGAAAATAAGGCTGGCCACAGCTGTGGTAAATTATGTCATTCTGCCAGGGCATAAGAGGAACGTGCTTTGAGGCCTCTGAGCTAACCTGCACTAGGAAGTTCTCTAAGTGTTGAGAGAAGTGTGTTAGTTGAAGGAAACCCCATTGGTGAAGTTTGACTACAAGAAGCAATCATGTAATTAAGACCAAGGGGCAAAGGGAAGCCCTCCTTGCTCTTTAAAAGAAAAGAAAAAACAAAGCAAAACAAAAATCCTCTCAATCCTCCATGATCGTGAGACTTATGTTTTTCAGAACTCTTTATAACATGTATAATTCTGTCGCTACCTGTTTTATTACAATTGTATATATGCCTTCTAATGTTCACTGCTGTGATACATACATTTTAAAGTGATTTGGAAGTGAAGAACTTGCAGCAACTGTGAAAGAATAGGAGTGAGAGAAAAGACAGGATTTCACTGACCAAACTTCTCCATAACAGGTTCACAAAGTGAATCAAATTCCAAGTCACCATTGGAGTCTCTGCCTTTCACAATGCTGGAGGAAGAAGTTGTGATTGTAATGTCACACAATTAATATCTCTGCTCATAAGAAGTGATGGGTAAACCTCAGTGTTTTGAGTTGGATAAGTATCCACTTATTCAGCAGCTTATCCAAATGTGTTTGGTCTTATGCTCTAATAAATTTGTTAGTCTCTAAGGTGCCACAAGTACTCCTGTTCTTTTTGCGGATACAGACTAACACGGCTGCTACTCTGAGACTTGCTAATGAAATTTGAGACTTGTTTGATCCTTCAAGCAGATCTATGTTGGTTCTTACTTTTGTGTGGATCAGTTCACCCATCTTTACTCATAAGATATCTTAAAAGTTGCCCTGTTATTTGTACGAGGAAATGAACATTGTTTTTAAATGTAAAATTGGTAATTTCCTCTGATGTATTTTGTTATGGGTTGGATGGATGGATCTACATATACATTCACTCAATGGCTTACTTTTTTTTTATTCCTGTAAAGTTCAAAATCTATAATCTCATCATTTTATGGTCACATTAGAAATAGTATTTTTAGAACACAAATTGCCTTCATTTAATTTTAAGTCGCATATAAAAACTGAGGCATTTTTCTGTTGAAAGAGAGAGGCAAGTTTGAACATTGAATAGGATCATAAATGACAGAAAAAAATAGAGGATGTAAAAATGGAAGAAAATTTCTGTATTTACTTCTACAGTTATTAAAGCAAAAGATTAGAAGTTAATGTAGTGCATGCATGTGCCCTGACATTCTGAGTTAGTTTCCTAAATTGGCATATGTTGAGAACAGTCTAAAATGTAGACTAAAATTATTCTAATACAAAATTTGTGTTTTGTAATTTTTTTTATGTCCAGTCTACTGCTTGGGTTAAGTGAATTATCTGTTTTTGTTGACCATGTCTTTGCATTTTCCCTTTTATATAGTCATGAAGAATCAAAACCACTCAGACTGGCAGTAAAAATGATAGACATTCTTTGGTAGGGCAGGGTTTTTTTTTTTTGAGCTATTATTGGTAGAGGGTTTTTGGGGTGTGGGGAAGGGGTAACCTTTACATGAACAGCTCTGACACCTCATTGATTTGTAATAGAACCTTGACTCCTGGGACATATATGGGATCTAAAGACTATGCCTTTTGGTAGCCTAGTGACAATCCATTTTGATTTGGTAGTGTTATAAAGGTTTAAGGTATGGTCTTTGTGTAATCCACACACCACCTGGATGTGGTGTTCTGTCCCATCTAATGGCACCGAGACCACTTAAAGAGAGAGATTAATGAGTCTGCTCCCCAAACCTTAGCTAACAGCCATATGGCTTTTAGCTCATGCATTTGACTCCAGAGGTCCCAGATTTGATCCTGTCCACTGATGACCAGGGTCTGTTGGCGTTACAAGTCGGGGCTCGTCCGGGATTTCAACTGGGAAGTCTCGGAAGCTTGGGACACGCTTCTTCAGCTAGGGGAAGTATGTAACCCACATACCTCCTGGTGTGGTGTTCTGTCCCATCTAGTGGCACCAAGACCACTTATAGTTTAATGAGTCTGCTATACAGCCTTAGCTAAGAGGCATATGACTATTAGCTCATGCAGTAGAAGCTCATGCATTTAGCTTCACAGGTCCCAGGTTCAATCCTACCTCTTTCAGTATGTACTGTCCAACCTGAGCACTGAATGATGGAAGGGTCCTGAAGAAAAATTCTGAACAAATAATTAAACACTATAGTAACTCTTATGCCCAAAGGGGCAGACTTAAGGTTGCCTGGGAAAGTTTGGCACTTATTGACTAAGTGATTTATTTTGTAATCTTAGTGTTCTTAAAATGCATGCTTTTCTATGGAATACAATATATGTAAGATGATGCATACCTGATAAAACAGTGAGAATTTCACTTGTAAAATTTTGTTCTAAGCCAAAGCATGACACTATTTTTCTCTTTCCATATTAAAGATATGAATGACTTACCTTTCAAAAATGACTTTCTGTGACACACTCATCTATGAAGAAGCCAATAAAACTGTATTTGAGACAAGCACATATGGTCTATTTTCTTTTCTACATTTTTTTTCCTCCTAGTTTCCCATTATTTCCACATACTACTGAAACTTTTAGCCTGACTTAGTTATAATCACATCTGTTCCTCCATTAGTCACTTTATAATCCATGATAATAAGAAAAAGAATGCTTTATATCATGGAGCAGCAAATAGCTAAAAATCAAATGGGTACTAAAAGCCTAGCTCAAACAAATTGGTATAGTTGAATTTGGCTCAATGCAATTTTTTTTTCTTTAACACAGTTCAGTGGCTGTAATATGATGATTTTGGAAACCTATTCAGATAATCTTCATAGAATAAAATCTATCAAATGATGATTTTTCATTTTCTTACATTTATTTTGTCTCCCCCACCTCCCAGATGACACGAGAACAGTATATACTGGCAACACAGCAGAATAGCCTGCCAAGGATTGAAAATCCGCAACTTTATCCAGTGGGAATTTATGGATGGCGAAAGAGGTGCTTATACTTCTTTGTCCTTCTGCTGTTGGTTACCATGATTGTTAACTTAGCAATGACAATATGGATTTTGAAGGTTATGAATTTCACAGTGGTAAGTACCACCATGATTTTACATCTCTTGATCTTCATGTTAATAGCTTGTCCTTTTTTCAGTGCACATTCATTTATTCTTTAATGTGAAAGTTATTTTTAATGAGAGATTCTACTAAACTATCAGCATACACATTGCACATACACTATGGAACATTATAGATGAATTGCTTAATTAAAAATGGAAGGTTACAATTTTTTGGTTTCTTTATTGATACTGGAAATTAGGAAAAATGACTTGTCAGTTTACATCATGTGAATCTGGAGAATGAGCATTTTAACAACTAATTGGCTTTATTATTCATGTTAATATGTCAAGGTGGTGGTTGTTTTTTTTTATGGATCATATCACTCTACTGTTTTACAACATATCACTCTACTGTAGGAAGACTTAGTGACTTCCTTTTCTCTGTAAATCTATGGAACTGCTTATGTATATATAAATATTTTAAATGTGTTTACAGACTTTGCTTGAGATGATGCAACATTCTTATTCAGATGATAAGCCAAATTCAGGGGATGTTAAAAATACAGCTAAAGGATATTTAAATCAGTTATAAAGATGTATTTAAAATGCATAAGAATTCCTCTGTATGCTTGTCTTGATGATACATTGTACCATACTGAGGCCAGGGCAGAAAAGGCCATACTGGTGAAATATTCGAAACAAACACCTTTGTACCTGGGACTTATTTGGCTTTCAGGACTACAGCCTACCACAGAACTACCTAATTTAGAATTTTAAGTATTGGAAAACTAAAATACCTTAATTACAGCTGTACAAAAATGAAATGTCAAAACACTGTTCTTTCTATGCCTAATGTAAAATGATCAGTGGAACTGGAGTCATGAGTCATAGGGGGCATGTTCCCTGGAGGAACTGCTGTTGATGGGAAACCAAGGGAACGGGGAAGGAGGGGAATTATGTTGGAAGCCACTCAGCCAGATGGACACAGGGTTTATGAAGTTCCAGTTGTTCAATTTTTTGCAAATAAAATCTGGTGGCAAAGTCTGATCAGGGAGCAGCTGGCAGAATGAGTCATGTAACTTGGTCTGGATTTTGCAGACACAAACCTAGTCCAGTGATGTGCCTGGTGGAAGGAGGAGTTTGAGCTGTACACAGACCTGGCCATGCAGGAGGACAGCAACAACAGGAAATTAAAACTATTAGTTTACCTTATTGGGGAACAAGGTGGAGAGATCTGCACCGCTGTAAACCACACTCTACTTCAAGCCTCCCAGCAATCTTAGGAGCCCCAGGGACTTATTGCTCCCCAAAGCAGGACAAAACTGTGGAGTGACACAGGTTTTTCACTAGAGAACATTCTAAAGTGGAGGGGATAGACTCCATGTTACTGCCTTACAAACACTAGCTGCTACATGCAATGTTTGAGTCTTGACAGACTCCCTAATTTGGGACAGGATAGTCTGTGGCACTTGGGATCATCCTCTCTGGGAGCGCCTGCTCTGGGAAGGCAATCTCACATTAAACAGATGCTTAGACATGGGGCATGCAGTGGAAGCCTTGAGGGGAAAGATGAAATCCCTAGAAAGCGCATCACATCCCCAGAACTACATGTGGGGTGAGGCAACAGGAAAGGAAAGCAGTTGGCTTCCATAAACATAGCAAGATGTTTTTCCTGTGTGAGACATCATGAGCAGGTAAAGGAGAACGTGCCCCAAGGTAGGGCAGCATTACAAGGAATGTGGCAAGGTTGAACCATCTTGTGCAAGAGGGGAGATATGATTGCTCTCTATAAATATATCAGAGGGATAGATACCATGAAGGGAGAGAAATTATTTAAGCTCAGTACCAATGTGGACACAAGAACAAATGGATATAAACTGGCCATCAGGAAATTTAGACTTGAAATTAGACGAAGGTTTCTAACCATCAGAGGAGTGAAGTTCTGGAATAGCCTTCCAAGGGGAGCAGTGGAGGCAAAAGACATATCTGGCTTCAAGGCTAAGCTTGATAAGTTTATGGAGGGGATGGTATGATAGGATAGCCTAATTTTGGAAATTAATTGATCTTTGACTGTTACCGGTAAATATGCCCAATTGCCTGTGATGGGACACTAGATAGGGTGGGATCTGAGTTACTACAGAGAATTATTTCCTGGGTGTCTGGCTGGTGAGTCTTGCCCACATGCTCAGGGTTTAGCTGATCGCAATATTTGGGGTCGGGAAGGAATTTTCCTCCAGGGCAGATTGGCAGAGGCCCTGGGGTTTTTTCACCTTCCTCTGCAGCGTGGGGCATGGGTCACTTGCTGGAGGATTCTCTGCACCTTGAAGTCTTTAAACCACAAGTTGAGGACTTCAATAGCTCAGACATAGATCAGGGGTTTGTTACAGGAGTGGGTGGGTGAGATCCTGTGGCCTGTGTTGTGCAGGAGGTCAGACTAGATGATCATGTGGTTCCTTCTGACCTTAAAGTCTATGAGTCTATGGGCAGAGGAAGGTCTTGGAAAGATTGTCAGATTTGTACAGGAGGGGGATGGCACATCAGACAGCGGTGGTAACAGCATGAGACTCTCCTGGGCTCTGAGAGAATATCAGTTCAAGCTGTCAGGACAAGAAAGTAACAAGGGATGGTACCATCCTCCATGCATGGAACCATGTTAATAGGAACCCACCTTTTGTGATTTCAGCTGAATACTGAGGCCTCCTGCACAGTGATTTCTCAGGGTGAGTTGGACTTGAACACACCCATTACAAAGAGCAGTCACAATGTAAAATGAGAACACAGTGGAACCCAAAGGAAAATGTGACCTCATACTAACTAATCTGAGAAGTAACAGATGGTACCAACTGAAGTTTGTGGTGCTGGATGGTAAGCACCCCAGACCTCTCTTGGGAATACAGCCATACAAATCATGGATCCGATCCGGTAGTAAGCATGCAAACAGAGAGTCTATGGCACTATGTAGTCCAGTGGGCCAAGGAGTTCAAAAATGTGTAGACCAGGAGTATTATAGGGCCTGTAGAGGATAGTGAAGCCTGGTGGTGGTAAAGATGTCATCAGGTATGTTAATCTGCATAGACCCAAAGCCACTGAAACCGGCATTGAAAATATCCACTGCCCACAATAGATGAAATCTTGCTAGAACTTTCCTAATCCAGAATCTGTATGGTCTGTGATGTGATGAATGGGTTTTGACCCATAAGCCTGGTTAAAGAGTCAGTATGCTGACTACCTGTGCAACATTATTTGGTCGCTACAGATAGCTATGCATGCTGATGAATATAAGCCCCGTGCCAGAAGTGTTCCAGAGAAGACTCACCAAGTGCTGTAAGGACTCCTTGGGGTGAAAAAAATTGCAGATGATATCCTCATTGTAGGTGAAAGAAGCCATGATACAGAAGCTGAATGAGACCATGACAGGAAATGACGAGTTTTTCTACAGCGATGCAGGGACAAGAACATAAAACTGAATGAAGATAAAATGTGACTCAAACAGCATGAGGTGACATACATTGAACATCTGCTCACATCAGAGGGATGGAGAGCTGATCCCATCAAAATGAAGACAATCAGACATTCCAGCTCTAGCAGATGTGAAAGGGGTACATAGGTGCTGGAATTAGGGGTGCTGAGTGCTGAGCTGCACCCCCTGGCTTGAACTGGTTTTCATCATATACAGGATTTACAGTTTGGTTCAATGGCTCTCAGCACCCCTTATACAATTTGTTCCAGCACTCCTGAAGGGGTACAGCACTCTATAGGAATGACATATTTTCTGTCCACACTTCTCTGCAATAGAGGAACCCATATGTCAGCTCCTGTACAAGTGTCTGTCAGCTCACAAGGCAGGATGTTGAGAGGGACTGGGCAGGTCCCTAACAGTAAGCATTTGACATGCTGAAGCAAATGATAATGGATGCCCCTGTCCTGAAGTACTACCAGCCAGGAGAGACACTGCCACTCCAGTGTGATGCATCAGAGAGAGGATTGTGTGTCGCTCTTTTGCAGAAGCAGCCAGCAAACCCCTGTCAGAGACTGAACAAAATAGAAAAAGAGCTTCTGGCTATGATTTTGGAGTGGGGGTGGGTTCCATCAGTACACCTATAGCCAATAATAGTGCAATAAGCTTAGACACCCCTAGAAACAATCTAGAAAAAATGGCAAAGCCCCTTCTTGCAACATATGTTGGTGCAGCTCCAACACTACCAGGGAGATTAGATGTTGTATCCATATGTATCCAGCATCAGCGAGCTGGAGGAAGGGGATCAGGACATTGAATCCATGCTGCACTGTCTCCTGGTTTCAACACTGAAGCTGATGGAAATCAGAGGCTATGGAAAAGCCCAATTGCAAGCAGTCAAAAGAATGATAAGAGCAAGATGGCCAGAAGACAAAAGCCAAGGTTCTGGTAGGAGCAGAACCATATTTTCAAATTAAAGATTAGTTGAGTGTGCAGGATAGAATCATATTTTGAGGACAGCAAGTTGTCTCCACCTTATTCCATAAGCATGTTGTGCAAAACATGCAGGCCTCACACCTTGGCATTGACAGCTGTCTTAGACAGGCTTGAGAGTATATTTACCAGCCAGGAATGAATACACATCTCTGCTCCTTGATAGCAGGGTGTGACGCCTGCTGGTCATGTAATAACCACCAGCAGAAAGAGACTGTTACCACATGATCTGCCCACCAATGAATGGAGGCCTGCTGCAACCAGAAGGATGGAGAATCCACCAAGAGGAGATGGCCAACAATCCGTGAAAGCAGGCAATAGTGTATAGCAGGTTAGCAAAGAACCTACTGACCCTGAAGACACATGCTCCTCACAACTCATAAGCCTACTCCTTCTGGTTTCTCTCTGTTGGCTAGATCCTCACAGGAGGAACTGGCTCCAGAGCCTCTATCATTCACCTGTTGAGAAGACCAAACTATCTCAAAAACTATGCAACCACATGAGTCTATAGTAAAGATGAAACTCCAGCTTAGCTGTATGCTAAAAACCTCTGGCAGAAGAGACAGAACCTGGAGTCTGGGTG